AAGCGGCGCTACCGGCCCTCTGCTTGTACAGAACCTAGCCCAGGTTAATCTTTGCGGGCTGTCTCTTCCTTCCTTTAGTGACTTCAATCTCGCAGATTATGACTACCTGCCCGTATCTTCCGAAATCAAAGAACTCTTTGAGTACATCAAGAGGTGAGGTGAAGGGGCTTTAGCCTGCTCTCGGCTCGCCTTTGTGCCAGTTATCCTGGCAAGTTTCGCAGGGCAGCTGCTGGTCACCCACGCTGTGGTAGTGTTCTTTCCCCAGGTACACTCCCAAAACCATAGAGATCGAGCATAAACTGCAGCCTTTTATCCCAGACTTTATTCCTGCGGTTGGAGACATCGACGCATTCCTAAAGGTACGCTTTCTTCAGGTTCCTCTGTACCTCCCGCCGCGCGAGCCCAAAGAGAACGCAGCGTCAGTGCGAGAGGGGCAGTCAGGCCGTACAGCCCAGAGGCCGGCCCGGCCCTGCGGAGGTGCGCACCCTTGCCCTGCGCTGCCGGAGGTACCGTTCTTGGGGTACCACGCTCTGTTCAGTCACCTCTCCAACAGCGCATGTGTCCTTTTGGGGTGAGGGCTGCATCCTTCTAGGGTCTGATTTTTAAACTGCAGGGAGGCTCTGTATGAAACAGCCCCAACTTTCCCCGCTTCAGACTCCCATAGAAAACAGGGTCTCTGCCTATCTGCAGGTTCCCCGTCCCGACGGCAAGCCCGACAACCTTGGCCTGCTGGTCCTGGACGAGCCGTCAACCAAGCAGTCAGATCCCACCGTGCTCTCCCTTTGGCTGACAGAGAACTCCAAACAGCACAACGTCACAGTGAGTTGCGGGGCACTTGTTGCGCGCTGGCTGGAGCAAAAACGTTGCATTTTACTCTTACTTCTGTCTGTGCGACTATAGCGTTGCAGCACAACTGACAACTGGGCTTTAAAAGCAGCAAAACCTGACCTTTTCCTCTAATCTATGGCTTTAAACTGCGAAGGGTCTAAGTCTTGCTTCGGGCAAGTCTTGGTAGAGGCTGTGGATCTGCGTGCTTTGGGTGAAGCTTTGTTTCCTTTTGGTTGTCACTACCTGGTTTCACTCTGCATTTTGTCTCCCAGCCGCTCTTCTGCCTGCAGAAATCGGTTGGTGTAGCGCGGCTAGGAAAAAGAAAAAGGCTTCGTTAATCGGGAGCAAACATGGGGTTTGCAAAAAAGCCCCCAGACACCACAAAGCGCTTCCAGGTTTATATTTCTGTTTTTAGCAGCAGATAAAAGTGAAGAGTTTGGAGAATGCAGAAAAGAACCCCAAGGCCATTGACAGCTGGATCGAAAGCATCAGCGAGCTGCACCGCTGCAAACCTCCCGCCACAGTCCATTACACCAGGTGAGCCATTACGTCGCCTCTGCCTCACGCACACTCGTGCGGCATAAGCTCAGGTCGGTGGGCGGCTGGTAGCAAGCTCAGGCTGGTGGGCGCTAGGAGCGCCGAGTAAAATGATCGACATCTCTCCGTGGGGGAGAAGACACGCCGGTTTTCAGGGGAGTCCTACCATGAACGTGTGCGGGATGCTTCGTTTCCCCCCTCTGCGCTTCTCTTTCCCTGTGTAACTCAAATTAGTTTAACAGCTAGCACGCAGAACTTGCAACTTGGCACGCGTAGCTTGTTTTGATACCAAAAAAACCCACCGCAGTGACCCTCGGCAGACGTGCAGCTCACTCGCAGCTGGTTTGAACGGAGGCCGTCCCGTTCCCAGTGGTCTGGCAGTAGGAAACCATTTCAGTTGCCTGCGCTCCTGAAGTTGATGTTCTTTTCCTCCCTGGCCAGGCCAATGCCCGACATTGAGACCCTGATGCAGGAATGGTCACCGGAATTTGAGGAGCTCTTGGGAAAGGTACGTTGTCTGGGCAATGAGTAGCTAGCTCGGTGCGTGGTGGTGGAAACCACCTTCCATGAAAGCTGGGTTCCTGCTCCATTGCGAGCTCTTTGCCCTCAGCCCGGTCGGGTTTATTCTTACTTACTGTGTGGGAGCAAAGCTGACGGCTCCGTCCATTCCAGGTGGGCCTCCCGACTGCAGACATGAACTGTGACCTGGCCGAATACGTCGACATGATATGCGGTAAGTGGGGGAGGCTGTGCCGATGACACAAGCGTACCGCTGGCTTGGCACTGTCCCACGTAAAGCGAGACACCTCTAGGTGCAGGCTCAGCCCTGGCTAGCCAAGATCGTTCTCTGCTGCCTTCCGTAGGAAGCAGGCTCTAGTACTGCAGGCGCCTGCGGTCTCTGGTGGGCGAAGGCCCAAGTAAATCACGGGCAGATGGACGCTCAGCTTTTACTTACGGGCCTCCGTGCAGGCTGGCGCGGCCCTGACGCTGTCCCACGCTTCTACTCTCGCTCGTAGCCGTTCTGGACATCCCCGTGTACAAGAGTCGGATCCAGTCTCTGCACGTCCTCTTCTCGCTCTACTCGGAGTTCAAGAACTCACAGGTGCGCAGCTCCAGGCAGGCACCGCTCACCCAGCCGGCAGGATCATGACGCTGGTCTCCTTACATTTGGCTTTGCTGCGCTGTGGGTGTTTGTAAAGGGCCGGCAGGCTGCCGTAAGGGGATCCAAAGAATGTTTTCTAAGCTGCTCCTT